AGAGTCGGAACAGAGTCGGAACAGAGTCGGAACAGAGTCGGAGCAATGTCGGAGCAAAGTCGGAGCAAAGTCGGAACAGAGACGGAACAGAGTCAAAGCAGATTCAGAGCAGATTCAGAGCAGCGTCGGAGGAGAGTTGGAACGATAGCGAAGGCGAGGGCGAGGGAGATGGCGGGGGTGAGGTAAGACGGGCGCTTTCCGGGACGGGACCAAGGCGGAAACTCGACGAGAGGAAGCGGCAGCAGAGGATCAGGACACAATGGATCAAGAACCACCTCGATGGCATACCGTGCTATCCAGGCTTCTTTTACGCTGCGTTTCTCTCCAATATATTTTCATCGCATGAGTTATAATACCTGCCTAAGCATTCATGCCTGAACGTCACGAAGTCCCAAGGCTGCCACGAAAATATTGTATCCGGATATCAAGCATGAATTACTTGGGCAAGGTGTGTTATTTCGTTTTCGGTATTTTGGTTCACTGTGGCGAACAGGTAACGTAAATATTTAAGTGAGCTATATCAAAAATCATTAAGAAAATATTTACATCTAAATAATATGTTATCCGTCAATAACTCCTAGTTTGTTACACAATTATAACAAAAAGAGTAACATATTATTAATACTCCTGTTTCCAAAATAAAATTGGTAACTTGCTTAAAAAATATTGAACACATTTTATTGCTCATTAAAAGAATTAGAAAACGTATTTGATGTCTGTATTATCAACAAATATAACGTTTTCTAATGTAATATCTTTACGCATGAAATGTATTTACCACACGAGTTAAATACACAAATCAAATTGATTACAAACACTGTTATTAAGGTGTTCAGAAGAGTATATATTTACCTAGTTTCCCAACTTCTCCCCATTTTCCACATACAAATAGTTGAAGTGATGTATATTATCAACCGAAATGTCACATCATCGCAACGAAGAAGTCAATATAAGGTTTTGGTTTCTTCAAGGATTATTGTTTTGCTGTGTAAATATTTACTTTTACATTTTTACTTTTACATATTTACATTTACATTACACCTTTTAACGAAGAGGTCTATAAAAGGTTTAGTTTCTTCAAGGATTATTGTTTTGGTTTTGAGCAAGGAAGATTATAACGTGTGCACTATGGACCTAAATATTGACCAAAAAGCGTTAAGTGGATTAATTTAAAGGAAATTAGATGTATGCTATTTGCTTATAGAAGTCATAGGTTGCCGCAATTACGTAAACTCGTAATACATAGCGATCTTGAAACAACATAGGTCAATGCAGTCTACTTTCCACTTAAGGAATATGATATTTATTTATATAAAGGATGTAATATATTTTCTTGAACATAGAAGTTCTTAAATTAGTTACAAATGAAGTATTTACTTATTTATTGGATTTTTTATTAATTATTTAATGCCACATTTCTGATA